AACCCCTCCCAAATACCATGCCCTCCCTCCCCGTTTCATGGCAGCTGAAGCAACAGCAAAGCACCTGAATGTATCAGGTGAGGAGAAACAATTGAAGATCGGTGGCCCCTCAAAAAAATGAGGTTTTTATGGATGGCAACTAGAATTTTGAAAAGGATCAAGCTTCCCACCATACCCTGAATACAACTGCTTGCTTAATGTATGAGTTGTTTTTTTACATGGCCACATGTAATAGAAGGTTCTGTTTCATGACATTTCCAACATTTATGCGTGATTTGTCTAGTTTATATATTATTAGATGGAATTGAATACCAACTGTTGCAAATATTTTTTTTGGAAAAAAAAAACATTTTGTAGCTTTAGACTAATACAGTAACAACTGTAAACAAACCACTAGGAATTGATATAATTAATAAAAAATAATTATTTGAAAAGAATTGTCCATAGGAAGAAAAGTTAGTATGTTAGCATCTGTGATTATTAGTACGTTAGCATCTGTGATTGCGTGATCACCACCCTGCCCTTTTAAAATGTGTGACATGTACATGTCACACTTTAAATGATTCAGGCCTTTAATCACATGCTTACAGCTACCAAACGGTTTTTGTAAAAAAAATCTCCAACTAGTTGATAACCTGGTGTTGCCTGGGTATAGGGGAGGAATGTCCAGACAAAACGTAATTTCTAATGTTGGATTTTTCCCCTTACCACAGGGAGCTCCCTTGTGGAGTACTGTGAAGCCGTTACCATGGCAACTCCACTGTTCTGTACAGTAGAAGCCATTTTAAGGCACAACAAGGTGTATCTTAACAGAACACACATTTCAAGGGGTGTTAGGAGTGTCTTACCCCCATAGTATTTTTTTCCAGAGAGTAAATAATCTGTGTACCAGTTTTGTTGAAATTGTTCGAGGCGTTCCAGAGTTATGCTGGAACACACACACACACACATACACACACACACACCACCATTTTTGTATGTATAGATGAAGACGCCTACACTATAAGCAATATGAATCAGAAACTCCTGGATTTATTCCTTCTATTTCCTTTCTAAACTGAGAACACTCTACAAAACTCTTATCTCACTAGATTCAGTTTTAGTATCTTGATTATCTTCATCACTGCTTCTCAGCTTTGGCTGCTAGAAGTTGTATGGTCTTCAACTCCCAGAATTCCACAAACATCATGCTGGCTAGAGAATTCTGGGAGTTGAAATTCCACACTTCTAATTACTTAGTGTTACCAGTTGGGAAACACTAATCTACTTTTACCCTCATATAGAAATTTATTTATTTATTTCGTATATGCCATATCATACATTCATACAGTAACAATATATATTAACATACAGAATTGCAAGAATTTTTTAAAGTATGGTTCTGTCATATGATATGATTCACTCATTAAAAATTTAATTGTAAAGTTGAATACTACAAAACTTGGAATTATTTTAAGTGAGAAAATGGCATCTCTTGATTATTTTTTTTAAAAAACCCTTACAGGGTGGATAAGGTATAAGTAGAAAACCTGCTCTTTATCTCAGGTTTTAACATTTTACAACATACTTGTGAGTTGGCATGCATGATCTCACTCCATCCAACCAGCATCACAGACTAGCCATTGTTCTTATCGTTTTTTCTGGCTTTGGTGAGTGGAGGCAGTTGGGGAAATGGATTGACTATGGGGCGAATGGAGGCTTTTTAAAAAATTGTCCGCAATAGACAAGAATCCAAAGGAGAGTGATAAATGTTTTATGAGGGCCACAGCAAGGGGTCAAACTGCTGATCGGAAACTCGGAGGAAACAGAATGAAGAGTTTCAGCCATTTCTTCGCCTTGCTGTAAAATGCTGCTAGTATTTATGGTATAAACACTGTTTAGTCATCTCACTAGTTAATCATTGAAGAATGTTCTGTATTCATTTAAAAGTGGAGCAGGAAACTAGTTGTTCTCTAGTGCTCTAACCAAATGCTATCAATCTTTAAATGAATCTATGTTGGAAAACAGCATCCTTTTAATTTTTTAGAACAAGAACAAAGCATACGGGGGGGGGGGGGTAAGCAAGATACCAAAAGGACAAAGGACTGTAAATACAAAAGCTGCTCTTTGTCTCAGGTTTTAACATTATACAGCATACTTATGAATTAGCATGTATGATCTCACTTTTGAAAATCTATCCCGCTTCCCCATTCCCGTTAAGCATAATGGATTATCAAAGGTGATGGGAGGAGACAGGTTCATTTCTGGATGGTATTCAGGAAAGAAAGCAGAACTGCATTTTACT